GCAGGACCCCAGCAATGCCTGCATTACTTGTACCTGCCATGTAAGCTGGGGTTGGAAGGGTGGGGGTAGGGTGGAGGACCTTATAGATGGATAAAGTGGGGAGCCTCAGGACACTGGACTAGCGAACACGGGGGTCTTCAGGGAATTAGGAAAGGGCATCCCTACTGGGTGAGAGGGCAGAGGCATCCCTGTGGTGGGACAAGGAGCTGAGGGCTGGACTCACCCCCTCCTTGAACATGAAGTGGGTGTCCTTGTGGGCAGGAGCAGAGAGAAAGGGCTAATGCCTCAGACTATGACCCAGATGGCCCCAGCAGTGTGAGGTCAGGGACCCCAGGCCCTGCTGGAAGCCCATAGAACAATGACGTCTGTCCTCAGCTGGGCCACGTGGAGTGCCACCTTGAGGAGTGCCAGGCCCTCTCCTGCCCTCCTGGCTGGACAAAGGTGCAGGAGGCTGGCAGGTGCTGTGAGCGATGCCAAGGTGTGGGCCAGGATGATGGGGGGGAGGAGGAGCGAGACCCAGTGTGAGGGATGGGCAGTTGATCCTCGCCCCCCACCCCTGCAATGTCGCCTCAGCCCCCGACCAGTCGTGTGTGCACCAGGGCCGAGAGGTGGCCTCCGGGGAGCTATGGGCCTTGGACGCCTGCACCAACTGCTCTTGCGTGGCTGGCACCGTGCGCTGCCAGAGCCAGCGCTGCCCATCGCTCTCCTGTGGCCCCGTGAGTGCCGGTCTAGGGGGTGGGGTGAGTAGGCACGTAGCACCGCCATCTGGGTGCAACCTAGCAGGAGAGAGGAGGCTGGGCTTGGGCCGGGGCAGCGGGGTTGGTGGAGGACCCGGGGCCTGCAGTTCCGGGAGCGGCCACGAGATGGTGCCCTGAGCCCGCCCTCAGTGAGTCCAGGAGCCCAAGAGCCCCTCCTCAGTCCTCAGGAAGGCTCTGCACTGGGCTCCTCCCGGAGGGCGGCGTGTCTGACTGTGTCTGGGGCTGAGGCCAGGACGAGGCCCCCGCCCTGAATCCCGGCAGCTGCTGCCCCCGCTGCCTGCCCCGGCCCGCTTCCTGCATGGCCTTCGGAGATCCCCATTACCGCACCTTCGACGGCCGCCTGCTGCACTTCCAGGGCACCTGCAGCTACGTGCTGGCCAAGGACTGCCATGGAGGAGACTTCAGGTGCGCAGCCCCCTCTGCCTTCTCCCTAATCCCCTACACCCGTGCCTGCTGACCACTGCACCCGGGCCTCTCACATCGCAGCGTGCACGTGACCAATGATGACCGGGGCCGGAGTGGTGTGGCCTGGACCCAGGAGGTGACAGTGCTGCTGGGAGATGTGGCCGTGCGACTGCTGCAGGGCAGGGTGGTCACGGTGAGCAGAGCCAAGGACTTGGGTAAAGGTTGGTTCCGCGCTGTCCACTCTCCCAACCAATGTCACCCTTTCTCCCGCCTCCGTTTTCCAGGTGGATGGACGCCCGGTGGACTTGCCCTTCCTGCAGGAGCGGCTGCTGTACGTGGAACTGTGGGGACATACCGTGATCCTGCACACCCAGCCGGGGCTCCAGGTGCGGCCAGGGCAAGTGGGGGCGGGCGAGCCTCGGGCCTGCTCAGGCTTCTGTATCTCTTGAAGGAGTGGGGACACCAGCTGTGTCCCGGGCCAAATGAGGTCACCAAGGCGAGAGAGTTCTGCTGGATTCTGAGGGGAGGACAGGAGTCAGAGGCCTCCCAGGTGCAATAAAAGGCGTTCTGAGCCTGTTTTCTAACCTTGATTCAGTCACCAGCATACTGGAGCTCTTACACCCATACCCTCAGTTTCTCTGCTCCCCAGTTTCCTCCCTAGTAAAATGGGGAAAAGGTTAGTAAGGAAGGGGATGTCGACTAAAGTCTCCTAGGTGGTTCCAGGATTCTTTCCACGTTAAAGAGTAATTCACTCTCCTGCCTCTAGCAAGAAGCACAATATGTAAATTTGTAAAATAAGATGTCTACACTGAAACAATCCAGATTCTAATTGTGCTTTTTCCTCTATAAGGCCTGAATGCCCATGAGATAGTGAACCTCTGGAAGTGGGTTGCATTTCACCTGGGGGCCTGGTTCAGGGATGCCTACAGGAGAAGGTGGATCCTGAGAGCTGTGGATGGCTCTTCACAGCTCCCGTAACACCTGCCGGCTGACTGTGGCCAGAGCACTTGGCTTCCATGGGAGAGCCTCTGCCGCCCATTCTTCTCCCCTACCCCAGGGGCCATGCTGACACACTGCATGTGGCCAGGATGGACAGTGAGCTTCTTGGGGTCCCTACTTTTTTGTCCCCAGTCCCCAGTCCCAACCTCTCCCCACAGGTGCTATGGGATGGGCAGTCCCAGGTCGAGGTGAGCGTGCCTGGCTCCTACCGGGGCCAGATCTGTGGGCTTTGTGGGAACTTCAATGGCTTTGCCCAGGATGATCTGCAAGGCCCTGAGGGGCTGCTCCTGCCCACTGAGGCTGCATTTGGGAATAGCTGGCAGGTGAGTGGTCCAGGAGCCCTAGTGGGTTGGGGAGGGCACAGCTGAGCATGTCTCAGAGCAGTCCTCTGGTATGGAAACGGTTTGGCGGGTGGACACAAGATGGGCTTTTGGGCTTTCAGGGTAGTCTGGGGGCGTTCCTGCCTGTCATAGAGCTGAGGGAGACGGGATGGCCTGTTGAAAGAGTCCTCATCATCTGACTCCCCAACCTCTGCTGTGCCACTCACGGGCTATGTGACCTTGAACAAGTTACTTGCCTGCTCTGGGCCTTGGTTTGTCCCCAAAATGGGAACAAAGGAAAAGTAGCCGATACTTCCTTTGCTGTTCTTGTAGGGAGGTTTTTGAGAAAAACGTTTTGAAGAACAGCACACAAAGGTCCGCTGCCGGTGGATGCTGTCACACCTGGGCTGCTTCCCTCACCTAGGTTCTAGAGGGTCCAGGACCTGGTCGGCCCTGTTCCAAGGGCCGTGAGGTAGATCCATGCCGGACAGCAGGCTATCGTGCCAGGCGTGAGGCCAATGCCCGGTGTGGGGTCCTGAAGTCCTCCCCGTTCAGTCGCTGCCACGCTGTGGTGCCACCGGAGCCCTTCTTTGCTGCCTGCGTGTATGACCTATGTGCCTGTGGACCTGGCTCCTCAGCTGACACCTGCCTCTGTGATGCCCTGGAAGCCTATGCCAGCCACTGTCGCCAGGCAGGGGCGACACCTACCTGGCGGGGCCCCACACTCTGCGGTGAGGGGGCAATGCCCAGTGTGGGATGGGGAAGTGGGGGCGGGGGGGGGGAAGGGGACAGAGGACTCAGGTTTGGACAGGGTAGGTACAGGAAAAGCCACAAGGGGTGAGCAGGGCTGCTGCAGCGCTGTGACCCTGCCTTCACTATACCTGCAGTGGTGGGCTGTCCCCTGGACCGTGGATTCGTGTTCGATGAGTGTGGCCCGCCCTGTCCACGTACCTGCTTCAACCGGCACGTCCCCCTGGGGGAGCTGGCGACCCACTGTGTGAGGCCCTGCGTTCCTGGCTGCCAATGTCCCGCAGGCCTGGTGGAGCACGAAGCCCACTGTATCCCACCTGAGGCCTGCCCTCCAGTCCTATTCATTGGGGACCAGCCACCCCGTGCTCTGCCCAGACCCAGCCGGGAGCCCCAGGGGACACCCTGATCCAGGACCACACCGACCAGGGCTCATCAAACCAGAAGTCGCCCCTTGGAGAGCAGCTCCCATCCCAACCAGAGCTCCAGACAGAGTGCCCCACCTGGGCAAGGGAGCCTGTGCCTGCGTCCCGCAAAGCCCCCAGCCATGTTGAGCCAGAAGCAGTAAACCTGGGGCCTGCCCTAAGGCTGCCTTGTGTATGTGCGTGTGTGTGCTTCCTCCTGGTGCTGGGGTAGCAGCATGGGCTGCTTGGAACATGGGGGCCAGAGGTCAGTGTCCCCAGCGTCAGAGTGGTAGCAGCTGTGGGGATTCAGCCGTGGACCTTGCTCACTCCTTGTGCCTGCATCCCTGGGCTGCCTCCCACCTGCCACACCCTGGTGCTGCCCTGCAGTGGGCAGGAGGAGGACCCAGGTGTCCGGGTCCCAGCCCTGTGGTCACATGTAGCAGGCGTGGCCTGTGGTCCCCCTGTGCAACCCTCTGCGGATCCATGTGGAATCCTGCAGGGGCTGGAGAAGAGGCTCGGTCCCCACATGGCATCCACTTACCTCTTGGTTTGGGGGATACCAAGTGCTCATTTGCCTTGTGGGCCACTCTGAGAGCTGGTGACACAGGAACCCCGTGCCTGGGCTGGGGACCAGGACCGTGATGAAATACAGACACGTGCATGTGCACACAGACACCAGAAACCCAGATAAATGTGCAATACATATGTGTACAGCTGTGTGCCTTCACAGCCACACCCACTCCTGATGGGCATATGGGCAGGGGACACAAATGCTACTTTTGAAAACATCATTGTAGGAGAAAGAACATGGGTTTGAAATAATAATAATTTAAAAAAACAACAACCCTTTATTTCTTTGAAAAGAATAATCTCTTTTTAAAGAGAACTCTATTTTAAATTCTCTTTGCCACCTATTTGCTGTGTGACCTTGGTATGTAAGGGACCTTGGCGAAAAGATTGGGGGACCCTGTTCTCATTGCCGGGTTCCTAACATGTCACCAGGAGTGAAGGGGAAAGTGTTAGGCTGAACTGAGATCACCTGCCTGTTTGCTCAGCTGAGGTTGCTGTCTGGGGCCCAGAGAGGAGAGCTGGCTCCCTTCTCATGGAGCAGTCGGCAGGCAAGGCTGCCCCGACAGCAGAGGCTGCGAAGATTACAGACCATCTCGTGTGTTCACTTCCTCCTCCAGTTATAACTACCACAAACTGGGTCCTCATCTGGTGTATCGTGTATATTGCAAGGAATAAGCTGGGTGACCTGTGAACAGTGCTCTGCATGTGGACAGCTTGGAGCCAGCACTAGGGAGGCACTCGCCATTGTCCCGCCTGTCACCATTGTCCTCCTGCCTGTTACGGCTCGCACTCTGGGACCATGTTTTTCCAGGGTCTATTGATCATGGCCGTCCGCCTCCAGATGAGGGAGACAGCGCCACATGTGACTTAGGGCAGCTTATTCTCTGAGGCTCAGTTTTCTGATCTGTAAAATGGGGATGAGAATGATAGCACCTCCCTCATAGGGTTGCTGCGAGGAGGGGTCGCATGCACGGAGCATTTGTGTCCTGGCATGTAGTTGGCTGTTGGTGGCTGCTGCCCACATGGGGCATATTAACACGCCTCTATAACGCAGCTTCTTGTGTATGCACATATGTAGGTGTAAACCAGATACTCATTCGGGATTGCAAACACACACATGCTCACACCCCTCTCTGGCAAGATCACACTGCCACCCCCAAGGCCAAGAAATCCTTTTCAGAGCCTTGGCTGGGGTCCAGGCCCTGGCTCAGATGTCAGGGTCCTGCATTATTGAGCTCAAGAGCTTTGTCTCCTCCTTGCTCCTGTGCTCAGCTCTTGGTCCTCCAGTGGCCAAGGGAGAGGGGGGAGGGGACATCTGTTCCAGTCCCCTTCCCTATGGCGCAGGCAGCCACACCTGGGGGGCTAGGGCTCCCTTGTAGCCCCAAACAAGCCTTGGCTCTGTACAAGCACCTCTTCCGGTGCCCTGCTGGCCTGGGCCAGCTCCGGGCTGCACTGCGGCAGGTAAGGGAGGCAGGGCACTGTTTCCGAGGGGGCAGGCTCTCCATGGGGCCTGACTCCACCTTGCCTCCCCAGGTACAAGAGGGCTGGGCCTGTCCCTCAGGCCTGGAGTTGCCCACCGTGCTGCTGGAGATGGAACGGAGCCGGAGGGCCCAGGAGCAGGTAGGGCCTGGTTAGGGGGTGTGGCAGAGTGCAGGGTGGGTACCCCCTCACATCCTGGCACCCCATCTTTCTGCAGCTCCTGTGGGACTTGGAGCTGCTGACCGGGGCAGGGCTGGGCCTCTTCTGGCCCCCCCAGGCCCAGTTCTGGGGCCTGAGGGACCAGGCCCAGTGTGCATGGAGCCAGCACAGCAAGCCCCGTGGCAGGATGGATGGGGGCTCTGAGCAGCTGACAAGTGGGGTGAGCAGGGGCTCAGCGGAAGCAGGGGGTCAGTGTGACATTGGACGATCGTAGTGGTGAGGGAAGTGGAAAGAGTGCGGGCCTTCGAGACAGATGAATCTGGTTCAGATCTCTGTTCTGACACTCTTTGTGGACTGTAAGCCTCTATTTCCTCGGCTACAAAATGGGGAAGATAACAGATCTTTCTCAGATGGCTGCTGGAAAGACCGGTGAACTCTCATCCATGTAAAAAGTTTAGCACCGTGCCTGGAGCACAGGATCAGCTTGTTCTGTGCAGGCTATTACCATTCCATGGCTAACAACTATCTTAGTCAAATCAACCATGTAGTGACACCTAGAAGCTTTAGACATGGCCGCAGTGTGGGAGGAAAGCAGGCCTGGCAGGGCCCCAGAGGGCAGAGGCACTGAGGTCCATCCGGAGTGCCCCTGAGGTGAGACTCTGAGCAGCCCCAGCCACAGGCCCCTCCCTCCAGGGCTGGAGGCTGGGCCAACCCCTCTAGGAAGGAGGGTGCTGTGGTGATTGGGAACTCAGACTGTGCCTCCAGTCCCAGTTCAGCCAATTGCAGAGGCACTTTGGGCAGGTTGGAAGCCCTCTCTGGGCTGAGGCATCCTCAGCTGTAGCAGGAAGGGTGTCATGTGATGACCACCAAGAAAGTGTCCCCTCAACATTGTCAGCCAGGACTGCAGGCTCATCTGAAGGCTCGATTGGGCAGGAGGAACCAAGCTCCTTCACCTGGAGGGGAAGGGGAGAGGGTCACCCAAGGGCATGGATGCCAGGAGGAGGGGTCCCTTGGGGGCTGTCTACCACACTGGGGGATGGTGCTCTGGGGACTAGACCACCCACAACCCTTCCAGAGTTCCAGGCTATGCCCATCGCCCCAGGCTGGGAACTCTCTGAGCCAGAACCATCCAGAGAGGTGAGTCTTTCTCCCAGGGAATTCTGTTCACGCTGTGTTGCCACACACAGTGACCAAACACTGGCCCCTTTCCTGGTCTCCTTCCATGGCCCTGCCCAGCAACCCCTCCTCATGCCTCAGGCTCCTTTTGGGGCTGTCACTCAGTTGCACCCATATGGTTACTTTAAGCCCCTGAAAAGGGTAGCCCCCAGTTCCAGGTCCCAGGATCCAGTGGTGGGTACAGGGGCTGGGGCAGGGCACCTTGGACTGAGTTTGGGTGTTGGGGTGAGAAGGCTCAGCAGCAAGCTGGTGGTGGGGAGACTGGCAGACAGGCTGCCCCACCCCACCACCACGCCAGAGCCCAGATGCAAGAGGTGCATTTGAGGCAGCCTTTGCACTCCTACAGGGGGCAGGGGACAGACCTATCATCGGCCCCAGATCTGGACAAGGTCAGGAGTGAGACAGACCCAAGGTGGGAGAGCCCTGGCATGTCTGCAGAACCCACACCTGGTAGGTTAACAGAAGGGGTCAGCAGCCAGGATAGCAGGAGTCCCTAGGCTGGGGTGGCCAGACCAAATTAGGAGGAGGAAGGGAAGTCCTTCTCCGAGTCCCAGGATTCCAGTCCACTCCTCACTCATCCTTCATCTCATACCTTTTTATTGGGTGTTGGGGCACCCAGGGACGACAGTAGGTTTTCTTTTATATGCCGGTTCCCCCTAATTGGTAGCAACTGTCTCGGGCACCGTGTCCAGGAGGATCCTGAAACCAAGCTGGGGCTCAGGGGAGAGAGGACAGGGATGATTGACCATCTGTGGCTGCCCATGGGAGGAGGCAATGGAATAGCAGCTCTGTACTGCCTATTAATAGGCCACCCTTATGCCAGACACTAGTGATACATAGATAACAAGAGAGTCTTGGCTCCATCACTTGGTCCTCTTCTCTGAGGAGACCACAGCCTAGTCAGAGAGCATGACAATAAATAGGCAATTAGAATCCAGTGGGCTAGGTGCTGTGAGCCCTGGACCTGTTAATGTAAATGAAACAGACTCTCAAAGGATTTGTTAAATAATAAACCCAGCAAGTCCATAAGCTTTCAATTGTTCCATCATGCATGTAAGGAGGAAACTGACAATGATTATTTTGTGATTGACAGAGAAGTGTTTTACAAGTATTGGGTTGTTGGAAAAGTCATGATGCATGTTTGCAACAAAAAACATAGAAAAAAATACGTCATGACTTTTCCGACAGCCCAATATATTATCTCTGGGGAATACAGGGATATCAATTATATTACCAGAAAAATAAGGGATCTAATAAGACAACAGACCAGAATTATAGAGGAAGGAGTTTGGGGGGTATTTTCACAGTTCATGGAAATAATTTCTAAAAGCTTGGAAATCTTATCAGAAAGAACCCCTTTGTTCAGAAATTCTTCAAAAGAAAGATTTTCACAGAGAACATACTCATTTTGTTACTGTTATGAATATTCACACAACCATATTGCGTAAAGATGAAATGTTCTTGCGAAAGTTCTCCATTTAAGACCTTATAAAATCAAGTTATTTTAACTAGTTTTATGGATGCTGAGCAACGCTCCTTCCTCCACAGCTGCAAGGGAGCAGCGACATTTCCGTTCCTTTTTTAGATTCCTTTTGTTAATTATGAAAACTTGTTTTGGGGCCTGGCTCTGGCCTAAAATGTCCCTTCTTGAATTTCATTTGGTTTTGCTGTCAGAAACCAAGAAAGAGTTAAAGAGGATTTTCCTTAATAGCAGGAAAATAAGGTGCATACAGTGGGTTTCTTTATGGACATGGAAAGGCACATCAGGACAAAGTGGGGGTGTCCTTATGAGGCCCTCTGTGCTCCTGGGCATCCCATGGTGGAGGAAGAGGGTGTGCAGGTTCCCATGAGATGGTCTGCCTTGGCTGGGAGGATAGGGAAAGTGGGGCTGGCTGTTGACAGGCAAACCTGACAAGCAGGCACATAGTAGGCTGTGTAAATAAAGGTGGATCGATGAAGTTCCAACACCAGCTCTCAGGGCACCTCCCCTTGCCCTCTATGTGCCAGGGACTCCCTAGGCTTCTTGGTTCCAGTTCAGGCAGAATGTGTGTGAGGGGTTAGGACGTGAGCACAGGCTCCCAACACCAATGTCCCTTCTTCAGGTTGCTTACAAGAGCTGAACCCCACCATCAGCAGTAGCTTTGGGGGACCAGGAAGCTCAGAGGTTGAAGTGTCCTGGGCAAGGTCCCTCTCAGATTGCGAACAGCAGGAGTGGGGTCTGCCTCTGAGGAGGCTGCTGGGGCAAGGCAGGGCCACTTCCTGTCGCCAGGTGGGACCATCCGTGAAGCACCTTTTACACTATATAACATGGGTTTAGCAGATTTAGGAATCAGGCAAGAGCCATAACAGAAGTGAGGCCCACCAGGGCAACCACTGGGGTTTCCAGGCTCCTCTGGGGAAAGTGGCCCTGGCACAGGGATTCCCTCAAAAGCCTGTGACAGAATGCTTTTCCTTCCTAGGATCTGGACCAGAAGGGAGAGAGGGGCCAAGCAGAGCCCATGACCCAGAGGCCCCTTCGACCATCATCTGGGAGCCTACAGGGGAAAAAGGTCACTCAAGAAGCAGACCCTCAGGCCTGCCTTCCCAGGGCCTGCCAGAACCCCAAGATCCCCCTGAGTGGCTGGGCTGGAGCCTGGGCCACGACAGGGCTGAACTTCAGAAACTGCTGAGGATAGAGATTCCTCAGGGTCAGAGAGAGAAGACAAACGAGGGTCAGAGTGGGGAGGCTACTCAGTCTCTGACGGAAGAGGTCTCTGGGGGTCCAGGGCAGGAGACACCTCAGGTTGAGAACACAGATGCTCTTCAGGGTCAAAGAGGAAACCGCCCTGAGTGCCAGAGAGAGGAGGCCCCCCTGGAACCCAGTAAGGAGACCCCTCAGGGTGGGGAAGTGAAGATCCTTCGATCTTCTGGAGGCAGAGGCCAGATCTCACAAGCCTGGGAGGTGGCTCAGGGAGAGGCGCCTGCACAGCCCCGAGAGGAAGGCCACTCCCTGGGAATTCCAGGGGACTTCTACAGGTCTCTGGGGGAACAGATGCCACAGCCTGGGGGAAGGGAGAGCCCAGGTTCCCCTGGAAGGAGCACCCGGCTGATGCAGGACAAGAACGATGGCCAGAGACCAGAGTCAGCACTGGCCTTGGAAGACAAGGGGTCCCTCCTGGAGGGGGTGCCCACTCCGCCTCCGCCTCCGGCCCGGCTGCTCCCAGGCCCAGGAGCGGTGATGCTAGCGGCCCTGAGCACCGGGGGCTCTGAGCAGCAGGAGCGCCCTACAGCTCTCTCAGGGCACCCAGGGCTGGTGAGCAATTGGCACGGGCTGCAGGACCCGGGCGGAGGCCCGGGCCAGGCGGAGCAGCAGGTGGGCGAGGCGAGGGGGCCGCAGGCAGGCGGCTCCGCCAAGCTCCCGGGCGCCCTCGGGGAGCGGAGGGGCAGTGCTGAGGCTCCCAAGGCCTCAAAGGCTGCTTGGTCCGAGCCCCGCGGCAGGGAGGCATCGGTGGGCGTGAGCGCGGCGCAGCAGGAGACTGCCCTGCAGCGACTCCTGGAGCTGCACCGCGCGGCCAAGTGCCGGCGGCAACAGGACCGTGAGCAGCAGCGGCTCCGGGTGCGTCCTCGCGTCAGGCGGACCAACTGGTGGATGGGGCACAGAGGGCGGCCCGCTGGTCGCTGACCGCTGCTTCCCCCAGGTCCTGGAACGGCTCCGTATCGCCAGAAACCGTCACTGCCAGGTGCACCCCCTGAAGCCCCCACCCAGCTCGGCTCAGATCCCGTTACAGGTAAGACCCCCGGAAGAGGGCGGTAGGGGGCGGGAGCCCAGCTGGGCACCACCTGGGTTCCTCTGAAGCGCACGCATCGGGCACTTGCGCTGTCATCGACGGAAAGCAGGGAGGGAGCGGAGCGAGAGGGGAGGGCGGGGCGCAGGAGTCTGTCCCGGTGCTGCCCTCTGCTGGCTCCGTGGAGCAGTGGGCGGGGAGGCGAGGGCGCTCAGCGCTTGGCACCGCCCAGGAGGACGCGGCCGGGCAGAGGCGTGCGCTGCGGGAGCAGCTGAAGCAAGTACACCGGGAGAGGACTGGACGGCTGCGAGCCCTCGGGGCCAGGTGAGGGGGCGAGGGGAGGCTTGTGGGGTGGTGGCAGTCCCCTTTCCCTGGCAGCTGGGATGACCGGCCACTTTCTCCTCAGGAACACCCAGAACTTCCAACAGCTGCTGTGGCCCCCTGGTGCTGAGGAGCCTGCGCCTGAAGAGCAGCGCTCACCCTTCCCAGCCCCCTCTAACCATTGCTGAATCCTCAAAGGGATAAAGAATCAAAGAGGTGGGGGTTCAGGAAAAAGCAAGAGGGCAATCTGTAGGCCTGAGGTAGCTTCAGGGCCTGGGAGAGCCGGACACACAGACACACACAGCAGCTTCTTCCCACCAGGTGGCGCATGATTTCTTTCTCTCTCTTCTAAGCCCACTGCCAGGCCCAAGGTCAGAGGGCCAGATCCCTGGGGTCAAGCAGTTCAAAGGCCCCGTTCTTGCGGAAGAACGAGTCAGTGCGGCACACCTTGCGGAAGGCCAGTTCTTCCTTCACCGGGGGGCCTGGGAAAAGATGTCATAGGCCAGAAATGGGTTTCTGGGAAAGGAACTGGCAGAACACGGCAACCCTGCCTGCCCAGACCTAGGAATCGTGTTGTATACACTTTGTAAGTGTGAAGAAATAAAAACATGTGCTTTCTGAGGAGTTGAGGCTATGGGAAAACGGAGTGGGCTGGGTACCCGGATCAGGAATGATGGCAGAATACCAGTCAGCCGTGTGCCGTTGTGCCATCATTGCCCCCAGCTTTAGAATCCCCCGGGGGTGGGGGGGACTGGGAGCGGGACACTTAGCCCTGCTCGCCACAAAGACAAGACGGAGCTAGACTTCTCTGGGACAGCTGGAGTTTTCTACCTCCTGCTTTCGTTGGAAATTGCTCCCTTTACTGCCCCTTTAGAGCCCTGGGGAAAGTAGGGAGACTTTATGGGCAAACTTGCAGCTCTGTGCATCCCCAACCATCCACCTGTTCTGTGCAGGCACTCCAGCAGCTGGAGAAAAGGACATGATTGAGCAGTTCACTGGGCATTCATGATCACAAAGTGCAAAGGGCCACTCAGCATCACCCAGCAATCCTGCACCGCTCCCTGGCATGTTCCTTCTCCCACACCTTAACTCTTCATCTCAAACTACACCACTGCCTCTGCTCGTCTCCCTCCCAGCTGATGACCTTGACTCGGCATAACAGAAAAAGCAGACTCAGTCCAGATGGACAGCTTTCCCACCAACACCATCTCCCTAGCCGTGTCCCCTGCCTCTCCTCCCGTCCCACTCCAGAACCTGGAGCTCCCTCGGTGAGCTCACCCTCTCACGGATTTAAAGGGCACCTATTTTCTAATAACCCTAAATTTGCATCTTTAGTTCTGACCTCAACCCCAGAGGACTTCCACAGTCACATACCTCACTGACACCTCCCAGCACATGGCCAATGCTGACCTGTCTTCACACACCCTCCAGCCCTGCTCCTCTCTGTCTTCCCTGTCGCAGTGCCTTCAGCCAAACACCTGGGCATCGCCAGTGCCTTCTCTGCCCTTTCTCTCCTTCACTCCCTCAGCAAGTTCCACTGATTCTTCCTCCATATCCTGAATCTGTTTCAGCTCTACTGCTAATTACCCTAGCCCAAGCCATTGTCATCTCTTGCCAGGAAAACTCAAAGGAGCTGCCTAACTCATCTGCCAGTCTACGCTTTCCCCTGAAGAAGCCATTACCTACAGAACAGTCAGGGTGACTTTTTTTTTAGTCAGTCAGTGTCATTCACCTGCTTAAAACCTCCCACTGGCTTCCCCTCACACTTAGACTCAATCCCAAACTCCTCCTCGTCCTTGTCATTTAGCTCTCAGCCTTTAGGTCCCCAGAGGCATTTTCCCTAACAATCCTGTGCAAAGCAGCACCCCTGCCCCTCCCCCATCACTCCCTAGTCTCATCGTGGAACTTGTTCCTCGTTTTTATGGGTGCCCCAAAAAGGAGCGTCCACGTCTCTCTCATGCCTCGTGCCAAGAGCACCGCTTGGCTCATGGCAGGTGCCCCTTTGTGAGGTAATTTCCAGGAGATCGGGGCTCACCCAGCTGCCAGCCATACGTGAAGTTGGTGGTGATGGGGAAGAGGTACCGCATCTCTGGGATGTCCAGTTTTCGGGTGTTGAGGTAGTGGTAGCGCCCCTGGAAGTCGTGGGAGATGCCTTCATACAGCAGGGCCCGAGTGGCAGGCAGTACTGGGTACATTTCTGACTGAATGGGAGCCTTCAGGGCAGGGCTAGGGGCCCTGCAAGGGACTGCTTTGGGGGCGCGTGGAGGCGAGAGTGGGGCTTTGGGGTGCAGGGTGGGCAGTTTGAGGGGTAGGTGGGCTGCAGCCTTGGCCTTCTGCTTGGCTTTCACCATCGACCCGTATTTGCGGTGCCATTCACAGCGCAGCGTCTTCTCTCTCAGAAAGTCCTCCTTCCAGAAGTTTTGCCGCGCTGTATCCATGTTGAATTGCCGTGACATGGTGGCAAGGGAAGGAACGGTACCAGGGTAGCTGCAGCTGAGGGGTGAGCACAGCAAGCAGAGCGCTTCTGACAGCAAGTGGCTGCCCAGGGGCAGTCACCAGGCAACCGAGCCTCACCTCACACAGGGCCAGGGTTCTACTGCCATGCCCTCAGCAGACCTCACATGCCTTGCCTCCTGTGGCAGCCTCAGGCCGGGGCCCACTGGCTAAGAGCCTTGATCACCAAACCTCTTGAAAGACCCGCGCCCGGTCTAGTATCACAAGCTTCCAGGTTTCCTGTGCTTTCTGCTTCCATCCCTGAGGGTCAGGTCCCCTCCCAGCTAGCACAGACTGAAGTGGGGGAGCCAGGGTCCCAGGCACAAGCTTCCTCCTATTCTTCGCCGCCAGAGCTGGTTGTCTTGATTCCGAGGCCTCCTAGCACAATCTTCCTGGTCCAACTCCTCTGTGCCTGGGTCTTTGGCAAAACCTTTTCCAGCCCTGCCCATCTAATCCCCCCAAAGCCTCCTCCCACATGTGTCCTTTCTAGCACCAAGCCTGGGTTTGGAGAGAAGAATGTACTTTAATTTAACATCAACAATGACACTGTAACAGCACAGGGAAGAGGTAGTGGGGAGAGAGGGCACTCAGCTTCCTGTTCCCTAACCAGCCTTGATTTTAATGGCAGAGCCCCCCCAGTAACCTGGAAGCACCTCACCTAGCCTCTCGATGGAATGGGAAAGGGAAAGGAACTGGAAATTAGAGGCTCAAAACTTAGAGAGGGGCTGATGGCAAGCCTGGGGAGAGGTGGCAGGGGGTTGTAGGGAGTCCCCTAGCGCAGGTCTTCGGCCGTGAACATGCCCCTGGCCCTGCGCAGGATGGAGTCCTTGGCAGCGTCATAGGGATGCTCCTTGGACGGGATCTCCAGGACGGCGGGAATGGAACGCTGGTGGGCATCAAGCGCGTGCCGCACCATCTCTGCGATGTACTGGTTGATGAGTATGATGCCAATGTCGTCTCGGTTCAGGAACTGCCTGTTGGGAGAGGTGAGAAGGGAGTCCAGGGCAGCACAATGGTGGGCTGAGCTACAGAAGGGCACGGCCTGACCCAGACAGCAGAGGTCAAGGATAAAGGCTGCTACTAAACTCTCCATTCTCTCCAGAATCAATTGCATTCAGAAGCTAAGGGCCTTGGTGGTCAGGCTTCTACCTCCCCTGCCTGGAAGGCTCCCCAGTGAACTGGTAATGAAGATTAGGGTGCATGCCAGTGTATTCCATATGCTGCCCCTATGTAAGAAAAGGAGAAGATAATAGAGATGTCTGTTGCTTTGCATTTGCATAAAGAAAAAAATGGAAAGTTAAGGAAGAAGCTAAGTGGTTATCCACAGGGGTGGAGGAGGGAGGTAATGAGGTAGAAGAGAACAGGAGCGGGAGTGAGATTTCTCAATGTGTATACCTTTTAAGTATTAATTTGAAAACCACATGAACTTGTTAACTTTTCAAAGGAAAACAAATTAAACTTTTTTGAAAAGGGGGCTGACTAAAGTCCTAGAGGTCTATCCTGATAAGGGCTAGGCTGAATCAGAAGGGAAGTTTGGCATAAGCCAAAAGCACAACATAGGAAGAAAAAAATCATAATGAAGGAATCATGCTTTCTGCACAGAGATCTTCCTTTCTTGTGATTCTCCCACCCATTCATTAACATTTTTATGCATTAAAAACTATTTACGTTGTATTATACAGTTGTATGCCTGAAATTTATATGATATTCTTAACCAAGGTTACCCCAATAAATTTAATAATTTTAAAAAACTACTCTGTCAGACACTAGGGTATGTTACACTCGATGATCCCTGAGGTCTCTTTTGGTTGGAAACATAGCAAGTTCTTGGAACAAAATGTGTCCTCCCATGACAACTTGAGTCACTTGACCAGACTGTTTAGAGATCAGCAAAGATCAGCTTCCCAGGTCAGGGCCTATCATACCCCAGGCAGCAGGAACCAGTCTCAGCCGGCAGCTCAGGGCTGGGCTGTTTAGGGGGAAACATGCCAGTGCTTTGTTCCTGAGACTTGGCAACAGGGGCCCTACAGAAGGGGTGAGGGAAAGAATAGGGTGCTGGCACCCTCAATTCTAGTCACCAGGCCACTGCCTGACTTAAGGGACACAGTCCTGATATTCTGCCCACTGTGCTCAGGACCATGGAAATTCCAAGATAGACTGGAGAGGGCGGCCCAAGCAGAGTGTGGACCTGGCTTAAGAGGCGGAGGAGTTTGGGACTGGGTTCAGATCCCTGCTCTGTCTCTTCCGAATCTTGTGGCTTTGGTATGTGCCTTAACCTCTCTAAGCTTTAACTTTCTCATCTGTAAGTGGGACTAATAACTCTTACCTTACAGGACGATTATGAGTCTCTAAAGGAGACAAAAATACAAGGAAGCCCGAGCCCAGGACTGCCTAGGTGTTCATCGGGTATGTGATTCCTTTACGGGTCAACTCGCAAAAGAGCCGAGTGCTTGCACTACTGGAAAAACGGGGGAAGCCCTGCAGAGGAGCTGACACTGGCGCCTCCCGGGCCTGGGCGCTCTGGACGCCCAGCTATGAGGGGCAAAGGGGCAAGTTGGGCCGAGGGGCGGCTCCCGTCACAAGCTCTGTTCCCCTTCTTTCCTGACACACGGTCATGTGATGGGGAAGCTCGCGGACCTGACACAGCCCCGATCCCACCGAGCCCCCAAAGGGAATTTGGGGTGCGAAGGCCTCTGTTCCGGAAGGACGGGAGGACCGACTTCCCTGACTCGCGAAGCCGGGATCTGAACACTCCGGCCCGGGTCTGGAAGCCCCGCGCCGCCCCCCGCCTTCTCCTAGCGCTCCCACCAGGCAACAGAGGGTCCCGTTCAGGCCTCGCGGGCTACCGTACCGGAAAGTGTCTTCGATCTCATTGATGGTTGTATCCTTCTCCACCACCAGGAAATTAGGGTGGCGGTTCTTGTTAAGCTCCCCTATGCCACCCAGCAGGAAGCCAGTCACCGTGTCTTCGTCTCCGATCACAGCAATTAGCTTTCCCCTCCCCGCCATCCTCACAGACTAGCCGAGCTCAGCAGCGAAAGCCCGAGGTCGCCGAAGCCCCGCCTCCGCAGTGCACCGCCTTGTCGGCCGCACCCCCACTCTTTTGGCATGCGCAGTTCCACCATTCTGCCTCCCGGAACATGCGCATTAATAGCAAAACAGCCTCGATCTGAATACGCCTGCGCCATAGAGGCTGGATTCCGGAGACTACGATTTCCAGAAGTCCGCGCGGCGTCACGGGTTCGCCCGGGCGCTTTAGATCGTTCCTTCAACAAACGAGTTGAGCCTATCCTGTGAGACGCCGAGACTCCCAAGGAGAAGACAGTTTCTGTTCTTGAGGACAAGGCCTGAGTCTGTATCGTGAATGTATGTATGTGACTATAGCACATAGTTAACAGTTACGTATTTGTTCAGTTAACAAAAGTATGAACAAGTTGGTACTGTCTCGTGAGGTAGAGTCAAGTGAACAGGCAGTTACAAAGCAGCGTTTTGCTAAAATGTGAGAAGTACGTGGAAGCACACACCCGTGCGAGGGGGGCGCTCAAGAAGGTCGCTCGCAGGATAAAGGGGATAGAAATTAAGACGAGAAAGGGGAACAGCCTGTGCAACTTAGTGACCAGACTTAGTGACTAGAGAGCAGTAAGTGCCCTGTTCAAGAATCTGGACGTTATCCTGAGGATAGAGTTATCCTGAAGCCACCAAAGGATTTCAAGTGAGCGAGTGATGTCGGCAGATTTGCAGAGGCAAGGCTGAAGGAGAAACCGTTTTGGTAAGAGATGATGGTGGCCAGAACTCAGGTAGTGATCATGGGGAATGTGGAGAAGCAGATGGAGATGAGAGACGTTTAGAGACGGAATGGACAAAACTGGGTTTTGGATTGGTTGGTTGGGTTTGGGGAGTGAGGCAGCGAGACTCAGGGGACTTGCAGCCTTCTGGTCTGTGCAGCTAGGTGGATGGAGTAACTAACATTCCCGAGAGCGTGAACTTTGCGAGGTGAACGTGGTGAAGAGGAAAAGTCCACTCTTTCCTCCTCCCTTTTTAACAAAGTGACACCCTGGCATCTGGCATGTGATCTGGAAGTTTAGAGTACTTGAGACATCCAGGTTTGCCTGGTCTACTGGTTGTCTGTATGATAGGCTTGGGCACATCTGGTTTGAATCTCAGCCCGGCTACCTAGAGGTATGATTTTGGGACTCGTCACCACCATTCTCAGGGCCTTGGTTTCTTCATATAACAGTATGCCCACCTCACAGGCTGTTGGAATTAAGTGAGATGGAGCCCATAATTGCTCAGCACTCCAGGCCTTACTTGTGACGGAGGAGAGCAGCTGGGCTGGATTTCCATAAATACAACACACAGGTGGAGGGCAGCAAATCAAGCAGGAAAGCCCTTACATCTGAGGGCAGAGAGTGCGGAGGGAAGTGTGTGGAAGCACCTGGCTCAGTGGCTGGCACAGAACTGGCCCTTAATGGCTCCAAGTGTTAGGGTACTTAAGAGCACAGATCCCGCCTCAGTGGGTCTGTCAGGTAAAGTAAGGAGCTGGGACTGCCACAGTCATCACAAACTCCATCATTCAGCCGGTGTTTATCAAATGTGGCTATGAAGAGGCTGAAGACACAAGATTGGTAAAATACAATTTCTGTCCAGAAGGCGCTCCCTTAGGATTAAGGGGAGAGTGAAAAATATCACAGGAGGGGTAGACTTACAGAAAGAAGGGTCTTGAGGCGCAGAATTCAGAGTAAGCGAGGGAGGGGGAGGGAAAGAAAAAACTTAAAGAGGAGCAGGGAGGCAGATAGGCTACTGAGTGAAGAGGTGAGGAGGGCGATTCGGAGCCGACCTACCACCATATGCTGCAATGTCAAGGGATGGGTCTAGAGTTGGGGGAGCCATGGAATGAAATGCCTCTTTGCTCTACTCTGGCTACACAGTTGCTTGTTCATTTATTTATTCATCACACCTGTCTGTGTCAGAGCTCCCAGGGTCAGGAAGCTCCACCTGGGGGAGGGGGGAGGCTGACCCGAGGATACATGGTCACAGATCAGGGTAGTAAATGCAGCTAGGGACGTGCCCCAGGGAGTTTGGGAACTGGGGACTGATCCGGGAGGGGTCCAGGAGAGCTTCCTGTTGGACAGGAAGATGAGGGTGGAAGGGCAAGGGTGTTCCCTGGCAGAGGCCCAAACTGCAACATGGGTGCCTGGGAAACTAGAAGAGGGGTTGGAGCTGGAGGGTGCACTGTGGAATGAGCACACTGCCCAACTCGGGGGGCTTCTGGAATGAATAGGTGGGGAGGCTGGATCTGAGCCTAGAGGCCTTGGATGCCTTGTTAGGAAGAGTAGACTTGAGCCTGGAGCAGGAGGGAGCCACAGAAGGGCCCTGAATTGGAAAAGGGCATAATCCCTTTA